CGTGCTTGCCCCATCAAACCTCGGTCCATTTACATCAAGGGTAAATAAACCTCACCCCAGGTAGCAGTTCCCTCTCCTCCCATTGATAGGCCGGTGGTGTGATGGTTCCCCCTTCCTGATTTCCAATGTGATCCTCATTGTTCAGTTCCCAACCTATGGGAGTGACGAAATGCGGTGTTGGGGATTTTCCTGTTCGTCGTGATAGTTTGCCTAAGAATGATGGGTTTACAAGCTGCATCCCATGTCCCATACAAAGGACACAAACTTCATCTTTTTTATGGCTGCATAGTATTCCACCCTGGTGTATATGTGCCGGACATTTTCTTAATCCATCTTCACTGATTGGCCAATTTGTTTGATCTCAAGTCTTTTTGCTATTGGTGAATAGCTGCTGCCAATAAAACATAACGTGTGTCGCCATGTTGTCCTTTATAGCAGCATATATTTATAATCCTTTGGGTAAATATTAACCAGTAATGGGGAATGGGCTGGGTCCATATGGATACATCTACTTCTAGATCCCCTTGCGGGAGAATCGCCATAACCTCGTTTTCATAATGGTGTTGAACTAGTTTTACCATCCCACCACAAGTGTAAAAGTTGTCCTAGTTTCTCCGACATCTCCCGTCAGCAACCTGTTGTTTCCTGACTTTTTTAATGATTCCGCATTCTAACTGTGTGTGAAAGATGGTATCTCCAATTGGTGGTTTTTTGATTTGCATTTCTCTGATGGCCCAGTGATTGTGAAATTTTTTTCATGGTGTCTGTTTGGCGTATGCAATCTTCTTAGAGGAAATGTCTGTTCATATCCTTTGCCACTTTTTGATGGGGTTGTTTGGTTTTTTTTTGTAACATTTTGTTTGAGTTCTTTGTTAAGGTTCGGATATTACCTTTGTCAGATGAGTAGATTGCAAAAATTTTCTCCCCATTCTTAGGTTGCTGTTCACCTGATGGTACGTTTACTTTTGATGTGCAAAAGCTTTCTTTAGTTTAATGAGATCCATTTGTCAATTTTGCTTTTGCTGCTGTTGCTTTTGTGTGTTTTAGACATGAAGTCGCACTCCCCAGTGAGATGAACCCAGTACCTCAGTTGAAAATGCAGAAATCACCGGTCTTTTGTGTCGCTCGCGCTGGGAGTTGGAGACTGGAGCTGTTCCTATTCGGCCATCTTGCTCCGCCCCCTCATGATATTGGTTTTTAAAATTTGGTCCGTTTTACCCAGTTTAGCATCTCTCTCCCTATTTCCTCTAAACAAGATTTTTTTTCTATGTTAATCTGATAACATGTTTCCTATATTCTCATATTTGGCATAAGACTTATGGGGATCTTTTGCTGTTCTCCTATATGGAAGAATATTTGCTTAAATGTAGTAAAAGCCTCTTATGAATGACAAACCCTTTCACCAGCATGATCCATCCTAACTGTGTACTTGTTCCCTCCATATGTCCTGGTTGAGGGGCATAAAGACCAGCAAGGAATGTTCTTGAGAAGGGAGAGACAAGACCTGAACACTGGCACCCAGAGGCAGGTACAAGAACAATCTACTTCTTATACTTGAAAATTATTTTTCCTTTTTAGATCTTGGATTTGCCTGAGTTGATTGATGACTCCAAGTATAAAACTAACCACCTTCGGGTACAGAATAGAAAAGAGCTTATTAAAATATTATCTGAACGGTAAGTTTGGATCTTGTATTCATCCATTTAAGAATTAATATATGATAAGCATTTATCTGGTGTTTTGTGGGTTTTTTTCTTGGCTTATTTGAGATCAATTTGTAATTCTCTTCCATTTTACAAAACTGGCTAGTGGAGAGATTTTAAAGCTGCGGGTTTTTTTTTGTTTGTTTGTTTAGAAGCACTTGAACACATTTTATATGCTTTGTTAAGTACTGAGTCATAACAATGATATAAATAAGAAAGTCACCATGACTTGAATTAGGTTGTTTCTCTGTGTCCTGTAGCTGTTTAGGTTTAGTTTTTCATAAATACAACAACAACAATAATAATTTAACATTATTTCATACTTTCACTGTGTTAAATGCTTTAGATACGTTATCTCATTTAATCCTCATAATCATCCTGTGAGGTAAGTTCTGTTATTTCCATTTTACATGTAAGGAAAACAAGGCAAAGAGAGGTGAAACCAAGAGTTGGTTTGCATTTCTGAGCCACTCCTGTGAATCATGATGTTATTTCTGGATCTTCACAAATGCCAAATTTTTCCATTAATGTCAGGTTGTTTATTTGTAATACCTGTACCAATTTTTCAAGTTTGTCTGAAAAAAAGTAATTATTCTTACTGTTCCATGTCAGTTTCACTTTTTGTTTGCCTTTACATGTCTTCTGAATCTGTACAAATAGGCTTTGTGGCTTTTGTGGATCGAAATGCCCACATGAATTTTTCTTCTACTGAAAATTTGCTCTCATCATGCCAATAGATTAGGTAATTTTGTTTAAATACCATATCCAGTCTTTTGAAAAGGCTCATGTGTTTCTATGTAGTATACATCAAAGTTATAAGAACTAAAATTCTGCTGTTTTTATTTTTGTTGTCTTTGTATTTGGGGATGTCTGTAGGAATATCTGAATCAACATTCATCTATCTATTTTCTCTTTCCTGGATTTGAAATACTTTTGTAACTTTAAACACTTTTGTGATTTTAAACACTGCCTGTATCTTTTCCATGTGCCAAATGCTGTTCACATCAATAGAGGGACTGTGTGTTGTGGGACTGATAGACACAGAATGGGGGAAGGAGAACTGGGTGCCCTTTTCTGGTCCCTAGTTAAATATAACTCTGATTCTACCGCGAAGCCCCAGAGCCCTCAATGACTAACTTTTCTCCACATGAGAATTGCCCATTTATTTCTTCTTTTTGCCTCTATGCCTCTCAATCATTTGTAATTAATATGGCTAATTGATAAAACTTTTTCCTTTCACACTATGGTTACCAAGTTTCAATAATAACCACTTGTGAGAACCTTATCAGAAGCTCTTTGATAATCTGAATAAATCATGACCATGCTGCAAGAAGAGTAGATCCCAAGGAAAATATGATACCTAGATTGGTTTCCTATGTTTTAAAACTTTTATTCCTTGTTAAATTCTGTAATGGAGTTCAACTGTGGAATGACTTTTAGTAGCGTCTGTAACATACTCATTTCCATTTTCCCTCTTTGGTGTGAGTTAAATAATCTGCAACCTTCTTCTTTCTGTTCTTTTATATACAGAAGTAGAAGTTTCAGCATTTTGGTATTCGTAAGATTGTTATATTTTTGTTCAGACTTAACAATAAGTAAGGAATCAATGTGCAAGGAAGAGACTGGGTTGGGGGAGGGGGTAGTCCTAGGAGAGGAAATTTCATAAGGAGGTCACATCATCATTTGTACTGCTGTTAAAACACAGACCACAGAGCCCTTGGCTGCTTGGAGGCTAGCTTTTGTGCTCTCTTCTGCTAGTGTGCTGACATTTTTTGGTACTTTCTTATGGGTTGCAGTTCTCCAAGTCTTTTCTAGCATGTCTCTTCTCCTCCAAGGTAGTTCAAATAGTGATGATCTGGGAAGATTAGAATTAGAATATTGATTCATTCCAGTTTATAAGCTTATCATTTATTTTTCCAAACAAATAGCACTGGGATCATTAGTATTGTTTAGTGCTTGGCTTTGAGAAGTCTCTACAGGTTCTTTAAAATTTGTCATTTTCATTATATGATTCTGTTTTTCCAGTATTCAAAAATATTAGTGGTGCTTCATAAATTACATGATTAGACATAGCCTCCAGCCTGGCATGCAGGGTCTCCCATAATCTGACATCACCTTTCCTGTCCACTCTTCTTCTAACATGTTTGCAAAGGACATCCCTGCTATAGTCACCCTCCCTATTGGTTTAGTTTCCTCTCTGAAATGCTTCTCAGGATTACCACTATTCTGAAACTTAGTCATGTTTCAAGGCCAGTTCTAGAAGCCTCTGTTCCCAGTCAGATGATGGCACCTTTAGAAAAGAAGGTTGTCCTTTTTGTGCCTTGTCCCTTGTCAAACGGAAGTACAATCAATGTTGGTTGTCATTATGAATGATACTGCTCCAGGGCCTTCTCAACATTCTTGTCTTGATCAGCACACACATTGCACAGTCACCTCAGAACTTGCAGGCATTTTATTTCCTAACAAAAGTGTTACATTAGCTCACAGCCACAAAAAAGGAGCCAGGGAGAAAGGAAGGGGTGGAACCAGCCTTTGGTGGCTGCCAAGTACATGCCAAATAAGTGTTACTATTCCCACTTGATATGAAAATTCTGACATTTAGGGAGGTGGTCTCCAGGTCAGGCACATAGTGAATAGTTAGAAATGGGATTCAAAATGTAACACCTTTTTCATCTCTCATATTGCCTCCCTGAAGTGGCACATAAAATATGACTGTGTCCTTGTTTGTTTATGCACTCAAGAAATATTTATTGAGCACTAACTGTGTAGTAGGCACTGTTGCAAGCGTTGGAGATAGAGAAGTGAATGAAACAGACCAAGTGTATCCATGAAAAATAATGCAGGCCAGGACAAGGAAGAATGCCAGAAGTTAAGTGTGAAGCTGGGTTTTTCATTTAGCCTGGTCACAGAGGGCTTTTCTGTGAAAGTGACATTTGAGCAGAATCCTGCAAGAAATGAGAGAAAATGTCTGAGGGAGGCTGGCAGGCATCTGGGAGATGCATTCCAGGCAGAGTTTATGGAGTAACTCAGAGGACAGTGTGCTTGGATCTGGGGGAGCAAGAGAAGAGGGGTGTTAGGTTGGTTCAGAGAGAGTGGGAGCCCATGGCAGGCAGATCGTGTCATGAAATAATGAAAGCGTTTATGACAAAGTAGTTTATTAAACTTGTGAAATAAAGGATTTTTTTTTGTGGGGGGGTGCATAAAATGGATTTGCTTATTAGCAACTTTTTTCTCTTTAACTTGAAGACAGAGCATCAAGCGAGGGAGTGCTCTACCTAGTAGAGGAGAGGTCAAAGCATTTCAGCAACATGGAGTCAGGAAGACCCTGTTTCTTACCTGGAGAGACCAGAGGGCTAGGTTGAAATGGTCTATGCTTCTCCTCCATTTATTCAGTCTCTCACGTATTCAACAAGCATTTATCGAACACCTACTGTGTGCCATGAACTGTTCTGAGCACTAGTAATATAGCAGTAAAATACAGTAAAGAATCCTTGCCCTCCTGAATTTTCATTTGGTAACCATTGCAGACTTTCTAGAAGACATTGTAGTGGTTATTTTTGAACTATTCCTTAACACATTTGTTTCAGTGAGCCTAAGAAGTTAGTTTTCCATATTTTTCATAATAACCACTTTTTAAAAATTTCTATTTTGCAAAAGTATTGCAGTTACAGACTGTGCCTGTTAGTCATTTATTGTATTTTTTCAACATGTTGATATACATGCTCCAATTTTTTAAATGCGGTTTGCCAGTCATTTCCATAGTAAAAACATATTTTTAGTAACTGTAGCCAATCACAGATAATCGACTTTACCATGTGAGTCTATCGTGTTTTTGCCTGTTGTCTTCTATTAAACCTTACATCACAAGCACTTTCCTTTAATACTTATAGATACTTTCCTTGCCTGATATTTTTATTTTAGAAAATCTTTAAAACATGTAAAAATATGGAGGGATTCATGAGAGTGAATTTGCACAGCAGATAAGTTTAAAAACAAACTCTAGGAATGATGAACTCACTGTATTTGTTTTAAAAAGGTTTCTCCTCCTTTGTACCCAATTTGAAGACAGTGAAAACAGAAGCATTCATGGATTTTTACGACGTTGGCGCTTGTAAATATACATGTGAATTTCCTATTGTGTTTCAAAATCTTCCTTCCAAAGTATTTTCCCTGAGCAATTTTTGAGTACTCCCCTCCCTGTCCCTTGTAAGCCTTCATTTATGTTTTTTAGAATCAGGTGATTCTCCTATGAAAAGTGCAGGCTTTTTTGGAAGTACCTACCAGAGTTGTCAGTCACTTACCTCACTTGTCTGTTATTCTTGCTAAGTACAGTTTGAAGCTACTCTCTGAGGGCGGTCAGCCTCGCTCAGGACGGCAGCTGCCTGTTTTGGTCATCAGCTGCGTTTTCCACAGCCAGCACACACAATTCCCCTCAAATGTTCTCAGGTGTTACTATTCCCCAGCCAGGGCTGTGAGCAAGTCTTTTATATTAATCTAAAGGTAGAAGACTTTCCCCTGGAGTTTGCCATTTTATCCAGGGTGTTGCAGAAAGTATGTTTACCCAGCTGCTAACATTGAAAACTAGGTAAAACTCAATCATGTTAAAAATCCCTAGCTAAAACAGAAGAGGAGATATAATGGAGACTAATCCAGCGCCAGATAAAACAATCCTCTTCTTTGCAATGCTAAGGAGCAACAAACTGTGAAACCTGTGCTACTCACACACCAGATCAGCATTTTTGCAATAGTTAGGACCCCAAGAGAGATATTGCAAGTTGTGAATTGAAACTAGGAAGAGAAGGATAAAGATGATGTATTAGTGTTTGGAGAGAAGTAATAGGAAGACATGACATGAGGATGAAGGAGAAGAGAATTGATGGAGAAAATAGACATAAAATTTATTTTATTCCCTCTCTCTTCCTCTCTTCACCAACATTTATTGGCCACTGACTGTGTACCCTTGTCCTGCAGAT